TAGTATGTAAAATATCGAATCGTTTGATGATGGGATACCTCATAGTGAATAATATACTTATAACAAAACTACTTTCCATAAAGCAAGAAAGCTCGCTTATCAGGGCCGGAACTTCTAAATAATTATCTTGCCCTACATGATTACTTGTATTACATAACCTTTTTTTTGTCCTCACTTCCTTGCCTTTAATAACCTATACAAAGGGGAGAGGGGAGGAGGTTTTCCCCGGCATGGGGAAAGGACATGGGATCAATGCCAGAGTTAAAAGCTCCGCACGAGACGCGAACTCGCAATTATTTTATCATGATAATTTTTGTTTCTCAGGTTGCCGAGAACGCAGCCCTTCGCTTCTATACTACTTATAGCACTGCCTATTTCAAAATTTCTTAATTCAAACATCTAACGAGCAAAATTAATTTAATCAAAAAGGTTATCATTGTGTCACTGTACTAAAGAAAAATAATAAACTGTAATATAACTGTTCGTTATATAGAAAATATAATATATCTCGAACATAAAGGGAAAAACCTTTTGAGAGTAGCACTTAATAATAATAATAATGCTTTATTTATTCTGGGACGAGTCCCTTTAGAATAATATAAAAAGACAATAATATAACTTACGAACGAATATTCGATTCAACTTCTTCTATTCAACCCTACATCTCGAACGCCTAAATCCATCGATAACATGTTGAATTTTATTTACTCCTATAGATTTTTATACTTTTTTTTTATTTTTGCTTCCCTGGTGTGAATAACATGAAAACAAAAATTAAATTAAATACTTTTTTTTTGCATCACACCAATGATCCACATTACCATTCAGTTAATCAAACGATCCAGATAAAAGTATCGTATATATTTTAGTTTGGTTATTCATAAAGCAAAAAAGATTCAAGCCTCACTGATGTAATTCGTTTTTTTTTTAACAGCAAAATTATTTCAAAGTCCGAATAGAGACAATAAAGAAACAACGTTACGATTCAAACACTAAACAAATAACTAAATTACACAGTGATAATTAATAATGTGTTATCTAAAATCGACAAAAGTTTTATCTGGGTAGAATAAAAAAACAACACTGTATTGTCTTAATCAGAACAAGTTTTGTCGAATAAATAAATACAGATAAGATTGTGAATAAAAAACGGGACGTTCAAATTCCACAAGAAAATTTTAAATGCCCCGTCTTCCTCAAATTTGTTACTGGGGTTCATAAAATTTCACTTCGGTCAAATAATAACCTTTCAAAAAATTACCTCAGGACGTGCATTTAACAGAAAATAACGAATAATGACCGGTATAAATGCATTAAAAACGTTTCAACAAACAACTCTTGGTTTATGATGCAATGACAGTAATTCATGAGTGCATTTGAGCAGCTACACACTTTTAGTTCTCTTACGGGCAACTCTAATACGAAATACTAAACTGCGTTCATGTGCTATATATATTTTCTATTATTGTAAAATGAAGTACTAGCTGTTTTATAAAACCCTTAAAAGTTTGAATTCTCGTTTAGCGAAAGTTTATAGGCAAATTGAAATAGTTATTTCTAAAAGAAGTTATTAGTTTTGCGGTCTACAAAAAGTATATATAGTCCGTGGTACAGTCCCTTTTTATAAAATTATTAACAGACACCTGAAAACTTCGTGAATAGATTCATATCATCGTAACGTACGACCAGAGGTGCCCAGAAGGCAAATTTCAATATTTCAATATATCAGAAGGGCAAATTTCGAAGGGCTAATTAATTTTCAAAATGGACAGTTTCAAATCAAACGGCAACTGGAAGCATAGAACAGACCGCATGAGGTGTAATTGTATATAATTTACGAATATGTAGATTCTACTTTCGTTTGTACTGTGTTTAAAAAGATTAGAGGAATAAAATATATTGAGAGGGGTGGGGAAAGGTTTATGCGCCATCGGTCTTGTGGAAAATGGGGACCCTGCCTAAGATAATTTTATTTACGAAAACGCATGGAGTTGGGGCATTTTCAATCTGGAGGTCAGCAAACTTAGTCTATTCAATTAGGTACTAACTTTACTTAGCTACTAACTAAAAACTCGCATTTGCTTAATTTGTTCACAAAATCAAGAAAAAATTCAATGAGTGCATATGAGTGACATGACATATTTGCCTATAAAACCTCGTTATTTTGATATTATGGGGGTGTAGGCCCAATAATACCAAAATGACGCTAAACGGCTTAATATTTTTGAAGACCACCTTTTTTCTCGAGTTTGAGTTTGAATTATCTACCGATTCAAGTGGAAAGCAAAGGGGTATTTTCTAGTTTTTAGTGAATAATTAAATGACCAAAGTTTGACAATATCCAGATTGAATTTTCAAAAAAAGAATTGTAAGTTACGATGAGATGAAGCTATTTACTAGATTTCAGACGGATGTTAATAATTTGATAAAAAGGTGTCAGTACCACGGACTAATATAGCGTAAAGCCTTACATGGTCAATATTATTGAGAGTGATACATGGCGATACAATTGTTACAATATTTCCCTCAGACGGTCGATGCATTCGATATTGACTTAATAATATTGATTTGTAAGGGCTTAGAGGCCTATCAATCTTTATATCATTCATGTGAAATATTTTCTTATGTTAAAAATCTAAGAACAAAGTATCACGAGAAAGTCACAATTTGAAACCGTTAACAAATTATTACAAATTATTATGTTATGGAGTAACCGATTCTTTTTATTCCTAACTGTTTGCTATTAAACGATACCGATATATTGAAGTAACATGGATGGAAGGAAAAGAAAGATCAAATAATTAAAAGGTTATTTACACGTTTTTCTTTCCAGTTATATTTAACTCGGCCATTAGGCTTCCAAGGTCTGTTTAAGAATACCAGGTAATGAACGCAGAGCAGTATACACACCACCGAATACACTAAACAAGATATAATTCTTCAGCCTTTATAGACAATACAATTTATTTGAAAAACAGAATATTCTATTACATACATATAATCCATCAATAGCTTTATTCATAAAAGTCTTTAATTTTAATATTTTATAGTATTGTCAAAATGATTTATAGGCTTTAGGGAGAGACCAATTTAAAAATCGAGAGGAAATTTAGATTTCGGATGCTAAGTGTATATTTATGACACATGTGAATAGCGTGTTAAGTGCAATTTTGTGAATATTAGAACCAGAAAGTTATTTTTTATCTCTTTCTTATGTCTAATGGGCACACAGATAAATATTCCTTTGAATTCCAAATTTTCAATCGATTTTTTGGGAAAATATGATCACGGAACACGGTATTCAACGGTGCCACAGTTATATAAACATACTTATTCTGTTATATCTTAACAATATAAAATGTATGAATTATTGAAGAAAGGTAGTTGACTGCACTACATTTGTATAGTAGTCCGTGGTAGAGACCCCTTTTTATCAAATAATTAACATCCGCCTGAAATCTCTTTAAGAGCTTCATCTCATCCTACATAACCTATACAACTAATTTTCGAAAATTCTCAGAATTGGAGCGTTTTCAATCTGGAGATCGGCAAACTCCGTCTATTTAATTTGGTACTAAAAACTAGTAAATATCCATTTGCTTTCCACTTGAACCGTAAGATAATTGAACCACAAAATAGAGAAAAAAGGTGAGCTACAAAATTATTGGGCCGTTTTGCGTAACCTCCATCCCCAACATATCAAAATAACGAGAATATATAAACGGCCCAATATTTTTGAATGCCACCTTTTTTCTAGATTTTGTGATCAATTCTCTTACGGTCCAAGTGGAAAGCAATTGGTTATTACTATCTACTAGTCATTATTACCTAATTAAATAGACAAAGTTTGCCGATCTCTAGATTTAAAACGCCCCAATTTCGAGAGTTTTCGTAAGTAAAATAGTTGTAGGTTACGATGAGAGATGAAGCTATTTAAGAAGTTTTAGACGAATGTTAATGATTCAATAAAAAGGAGTCTATACCAAACAATAATAACTGATAAATAATACGGTAGCAGTCATTTTAGGATTTTTATAGTTGCCAGATTAAATAATACGTGAATACCTTCAGTACTGAAGACATGCCCTGATGATGACCCAAAAGCTTGGGATTGAAACGTCGGCAACAATAAAAATCTAAAAATGACCGCTTCCTGATTCAACTATGAATATAAATTGTAGAGAAATAGAGATAAAATAAAAATAACCACCCCCCGCTCGAATACCAAAACGCTAAGGACAGATAACTAACGACTTTTGGCAATGCCCCACTAGCGTACAAGCAGAGTAAATATTAATATTTTTTTCGTCAAGTTATTATTTTAGACATGTTGGTTATCAACATCTTATTTGCCTTTGCAATGGATCTTTCATTTACAAACTTTCCATTAATTTGAATAATAAGTACAATATTAATATTGTAAACACTTTTTAAGGGGCGATTGATTTCTGCATTTCCCGCTCTGATAAGAGTTGGGTGGTAATAAGTAGGATAAAACATCCTAGTTTCTTTAAAATATAAAAGAGGAAGTCCATAGCATTACTTATTTATGCGTTTGAGAAGGTAAAATTTAATCCTTAATTTAAACCAATCGTCTTAATTTTACTTTTAAACGTTAGAGTGCTACCAATGTATGCATATTTACTGGATGTATTTTTAATTTATACAGTTGTAAATCTCATGAATAAAAAAATGTTTAAACGAGATTGATTGAAATACTATTTCATTAATCCTATGAATAAGTGACTACTGCCATGATTCTCCTTCCATTTTCATACAATATGGATAAACTATAAGCTGGGTACTCCGTCATGCTGTGAGCAACAAAACGTATTTCTAACTTTAATAATGACATAGCTTCATTCCACAATGAACACATCCATAATTTTATTTAATGTCCTTGGTATTGTGGAAGCCAATGAGGAGATAATGGAGACGGTTACTAGGTGCACAAGCTAGTCAACTATTACGCTACTCTACACAACTCAAAGTTACATTACCTGGACGATTATCCTCGGTGGCTGCGCAGCGAAGGTGTGGTGCCTCTTGGGTACGGTAGTCGCCGCCCTGGAGGCCCCGCGGCCGGAGCTCGCTCTGTTGACAGGCTTCCTCGGTTGTTGTTGCTGTTGGGGTTGGGTGGGTTGCGGAGGTGGAGTTACCGCCTTCTTCTTGAATATTGACAGCCAGCCTAGCTTACTCTTTGACCCGGGTTTCGTTTCGTCCAGATCCAATTTAAGCGGTCGCATCTTCAACACCTCAGAACCACCTTTTAGCTTCTTTAGCTGTGACTCGACCATGGTCAGTTCGTTTAAGCGAGACTCGATCATTGTCATCGGATCGCCAACGACCACCTCTTCACTACTTTCCGTCGTCGATTTTGGTTCCCACACGTCTACTGTGGGTATCACCTGGAATCTTGTAGTCTTAATTTTGACTTTGGGCGAATCTTCTTCCCCCAGCTTGATTTTGACCGACGAGGTCTTATTACTACTGGGTTTGACATCTTCGTCTTCTTCAAGGATCGTATTGAGACTCTGATGTTGGACTTCGGCAGCTGGCTGTTCGATCTCGATCTTCTCGACGGTTACAACTTCCTCCTTCTCTTCCTGAGCTGCGACTGCTTCCAACGTCTGAGGCTCCTTCTTGATCCATTCATCCCACGTCTTCGGGCTCGATATCCCGATCAGCCGCGGGGACGTCCTACTTTCCTCCATCACATGGCACCTGTGTCACCAGACTGAGCCTTGGCACGGAGTACACAACGTGGAGGGGGTCCCCCCACCATCGCCGCGGCTCCACCCGCCATACACGTTCCTCACCATTACGTACACACATTTGCATGCATTACCATCGTTGATTTGATAATTGACAAACTCAAACACACAATTTGAAAATAAACCTCAATCAAGTAAATATTTTTATGAATCGACAAACAACGCGATTTTCATGCGTATACCTTTGAGTATATCAACAATTTTTAACGCTATTGGGGCCATTATCTATCTTATCATTTTATATTAGGATTTTGACCTAAAACTTTTAAATAATTATAAAAGTATCTATCATTTTACAGAGCAGCCTAACGGCTCCACATCAGCAAGCTATCACCCGCCGGTTCATTAAATTATACATAGAACAATATTAAAAATTACTTCATATATTTATTCCGATCAGTTACTGCTGTAAATATTTCTCATATCATTCAACGATTTATCATAAATAAATAGGATGAAACCGGTTGTGTCGCATAAAAAAAAAAAAAACGTAACTGAACGAAGAGTATACTAATTGCATGTTGCAGGTTCAATGAATGTTTAAAAAAAATATTAGTATTAACTTAAAAAAAAATAATTGACATAAGAAAACTAGTGAAAATTAATTACTAACGCAATGAATTTAAAATGGAAAAACTAAGAAAGATTAAGAAAAAAACATAGTTAAGATATATAACTATACTATTACAAGTCTAAAGTAATTAAATGGAACAGAATTATGTAACACGTAATTAAAAGGTGACATGTGTAACTATTTATCTCTGTTAAAGGAGTTAAGTAAATATCAATTTGGCGCCTAATCGACCTAGATTGATATAGTAAATAAATTCCAAATGAAGTGGAACACGATCTGAACCAACCATTGATAAAAGAAGTAATTAAGTCTTTTCATTTCAAGGCATATCGATAGCAATTACAACATGAACAAATATCCTTCAAGAGAAGTAGTAACAATCCCAAAAGTATTACTGTTATATTATATTATATTACTATTATATTCACTTAATAAAATAAAATATAGGGCAATTTAATGTGGTTCCATCCTTTCCTAGAAACTTGAATATCATAGTTGAATCAAGTAGTATCGAGATAAGCTTTAATGTGTCATATATGCAAAAGTAATATGTAATTATAAGAACTAAATTCAAAATTCTTTGACACTTCTAATTTTGGAAATTTCCAAATAATTTAAGTTATCAACTATTATAGCTAATTTAAAGCTTCCTCGAACAGTGCTGTCAAATTTGGTCTTTTTTTGTAAGCCAAGAAAGTAAGAATATATTTCAAAATAAAAGATACATTAATAAAAGATTTTTAGTTTTTATTTATTTTGTAATGAAAAAAAAAAAAAAAAAGAAAGGTAATTTTAGATTGGAATTTTCACAACAAACAAAGATCTACATAACCATTTCTTTAAGATAAAAATCACTAACATTTTTTACTTAAGAACAAGTTTTGGTAATAAAAGAGTTTTCTTATTTACAGATGAAATCAGAAGTTGGAATTCAGACAAATGGATAATAATTTATGCTTTGCTTATAACGCAGAAAATAGACAAAGTGGCTTAAAAAAAAGGAGTGAAAATCGATCGATGATACAGCCAAGAAAAAAAAAATGCAAGGATAAACAAGTTTAAAGAAAATGAAAAGTAGTTAATAGACAGAAAAGTCAAAATTTATTTATAAATCACAAATCAATCATTGCTCAAATCAAGGGTCAAATATTCTTTAAAAAAAAAACAATAAAAAATTAACCATTTCTTAAGCGATTTAAAAACCTATTAATACGTTTTCAGTTTGTGACACCTAATAGATAGTATTATTTTCCACGCAATGAGAAGTAAAATAATAAAAGGAAAGAAAATATAAGATTATATTTTTAAATCGATAACTATCACTGTTGAACTTTTTGAAACAATAATAGTACATAATAAAAACTTTTAAATAAGATAAAAGGAAAATTGGGCTCTCACATCCGTCATCTACCTCAGAGTTAAAAATCTTGTCCTTTCTTTTTCTAAATAAATTTTTTTTTTTTGACAAAATTTTAGGATTATTTTTAAATTAAGAATACTTTATTTTATATTGGTTTGTATTTATTATAGAGGAAGATTTTACTTCTAAAATTATTGCGTTAAAAATATTTTTTAACTTTTGAAATTTACACACATAAACTTTAATTCTGTAAGCAGATGATCAAAAGCAAAATATTTTGCTGTAAAATCATACGCAATAAATATTTAAAATAGATGACTAAATAATGCCAATGTATTATTAGTAAAAAGAAATATCCCTAAAGCAAAAGAAACACATGAGTATAGAATTAAAATGTTTACCATATAAATTAGGGAAGAAAAGAGTTTATTGTGTAAATTTCAAAAAAAAAAAAAAAAATTAAGAATGATCTTAAATGATCTTTTTTATTATAACACCAGCTACTTTCATGATCAATATTCCTGGCATTGAACAACTGATAATCAAAAAGTAAGTACCGATAACAACTGAAACTCATACAGAGTTGGCTATCAAACTTTCTTTTGAATTGACAATTTAAACTGTTTCATTACTACGGTATGATGAGAGCGGCACCAGGTGAAATTGGCTCCAAGTTAATTAATGCCAGAAGATGAAAGGTAACGTGGCAACGTGAGTTCCCTCTTCCAACATCCGACCACACGCGGTCCTAATTTCACTCTTATAAAGCTGTCCCGTCCCATATAGTTAGTTCGGAATCTACTTTCATATTATATAGATGAATCTTCTCCATTGGTTGTAAAATTATAACGTACCAAAACTAGAATTCTTTTTATAATTCGTAGATATGAATAGTAATAAGATGGCATATAAAAAATCTTCAGTAAGGTGTATATAAAAAAAATATGTAAATACTTAAACTAACTTTCGTTGATAACAAATAACAGTAAAACAATTAATTAATGATTTGAGAATTGATTAAATCGCACAATCAGTGAGGAATGTAAGCAAATTCACAAATCAACACACCAATGGAAATCAAGCAAAGTTAAAAACAAAACAAATAAAAACATAGAGCTAAAAGCATTCATGCAGAAAAAACATGACCGATTAATTAACATATAAAGCAGCAAAAAAACACATTTAATAGTTATGAAAATTAATTGAATTTTTTAAAAAATAAATAGAGTTGTATAAATACAATAAATAGTAAAAAAAAGGTATAGTTTAACAATTAAAGCAAATTATAAAAATAAATTAAACCAAACGCTACTAACTGCAAATGAGTCATAGCGTAAACTCCCTTAACACGCACTGATAGGCAACCCGCAAGGCACCAAAGCACCACTGGTAAAGCATAACCTCCTAAGGCTGAATAAGACAGTCTTTTATTTCCAGAGTGAATAAACCATAGTTATCACAATTTTTTAGAAAACGTGAAATATTTTATATTGTATTCCAATATTAATACAAAAATCTACATGTTTAAAGAAATAAATCACAATATTATTATTTGTAGCACTTAATTCCGAAAACCATCGGAATTTCAAAGTATTTAATTCAAAAGTAATTAAAAATTTTAAAGTTCACTATAAAAAAAAATAAATAAATAAAAATAATAATAAAAATAAAATTGTGAGACTGGAGTTGTTATTAAAATTGTACTATAAAAAATTAACTTTAAATAGTAGTAAAATAAAATAAATTTACTTTTAATTTTTAGTAAATAAAACCGTTAAAGTATCTTAAGAGGAACTAGCTATTTAAAAATACTTAAAACTGTAAGTATGAGGAAAAATACTTAGATCATTTTTGAGACAAAATAATTGCATTATCGATCCACATCTTTATCGATTCTTTTTTATTTACGAATCACGTTGGAAATAAAAGCAACTTAACTATTAATTTTATTTATTTATTAACAAACAAGAAAAAAATCTTTAAATTTTCTTTAAACTAATTACTAAATAATTATTAGAATGAAAAATGTTGTAATTGGTCCATAAGAAAAAAATAAATAAATGAAAGAATTATGTATAATAGTAAATAAATCGGCAAACCTGGACACAAAAAATTAATGTACCATGAGAGGCGTTAATATATTTTTTTATTCCAATAAACTCTAAAGACGCATTTTAAGAAGCAATAGATTGCAGGCTTCCACAAAAGAATAACTATTGAATGTTGATATATTTCGTTAAAGGTTAAAGTATTTTTGGGCCTATGCACTCCTCTTACAACAAAAGCATAAGCCCGGGTCTATTTGTCTAATGACTGTAGCTATTGAAGACAACGGACTCCCCTATTCAGTTTTTACATTCCAAGACCTATTGTCCATGGGACATTTTAATCTTCACGTATTCTTTAGCGCACTTAGTGCGAAAATGATAGCAGAGTACTAATGATGCCTGCTTACTACTAATTTACAACAACATGAATGCAAATTTACTGTTAAATGAATAAAAAATGTGACTATCTTAGAAATATGATTTATTTAAATTTAGTCGAAGAAGAGACAAGAAAATAATATTTTATTTGGAGATTCACTAAGATTGGTAAATCTTCAGTAGAGAGAAATCGTCCATAAAAAAAAGAAGGATTTAGTTTATCGTTATGTACAAGATAAGTGTGCTTAATATTATTGGTTGTGTTTTTATGTTTTTAATTTTCATATATTTAGGTTATTTTATTTTTTTATTATAAACATTTTTTTATTGTACATAGTTTTTATTTATTATTATTTAGCTATTATTTTACTTTTGTTAATTTTATATTTTTTGTATATATGGTGTGAATGTGTTCAGTTAGCACTATAATTATTGTCCTCGAGTCAGAATATTATATGTCGAAATAAATAAATAAATAGTTATAAAGAAAAATATATTATCGATAGTCAAAGGCTGAGTATGTCATTCTCAATTATAATATAACCCCTATTTACCGAAAGAGATAAAACTCCATTTAAATAAACAATACA